AAATAGTATAGGTAATTATTACGACCCCTACGTCAAGGCAGGACCTTTGGCAATGTAGACATGTGATGAGTAGCACCCTCTTGTCATAGGAACAGTCAGGATCCTACTTTATGGCCTTATAATAAGAACCGTAAGCTCTGAGGGTTTAAGGTTTAGGGTTTACCCCTACACCGTCTCTGTCCCTATAAAGATTACCAGGGGCCTACAGTATGACCGAGCTGCCCTCAGTCGGCAGGCGAAGTCCTACAAAGCCTACAAGGTGAGCTTCAAGAACCAGGAGGCAGCATCCGCTGCAGCACTCATCTGCATGTGTATATGTATATATATATATAACTCAGAGGTCTACATATATGTACACACGCATCCCTCTCTCTCTCTCTCTCCCCCTCTCTCTGTCTCTCTCTCTCTCTCTCTCTCTCTCTCCCTCTGTTTGTATATCACTCCATGTGCGTTGCGCTGTGGCATACGTTTATCAAGTGGTTGACCCATGACCTGACTCTAACATGATTCAAGGCTTCGGAGTTGAAAGGCTTTCGGGATCCCTCTCCCATGGTCCTACAGGCAACGCATGCAGCCCATAATGTAAGGGTCGGACGAATCAGTTTCCTTTGCCCCGAGGCATTGGAAGTCCCCGACAATCCTTAAGAAACCATTGCACCTTAGACCCTAAATTCTATACCCCATAAGCCCAGTCCCTAGACAGGCTCGGCGGGTCGTCAGCGTGGCATTCTCGCCGGCCATTCCGCACAAGCTGGCAGTCGTGAGTGGGACGATGCTCGCATTGCAGCGAAGTCGATTGCTACAGGGGCCTTAAGAATTCGAAACTGGTTCTTGTGTTTAGTATAATTTGTAGAGGTATTTAAAACTGATATTCTCAATATGCTGATTATCCCGACAGTTAGAACTTTATGGGTAATTCTCTAAATCAGGGTCGGAGCCTAACAGAGTTTAGTGTTTAGGGGAACCCTAACTTACAGAACTACCTATATCATAGCCTGGCAGGAAAGCTTGGAGCTTTTGATCCTCCAACTCAACATTGCGAGTAGGAGTGGGACTTAGGGTACAGGGTTCGGGTCTTAGTAGGTTTTAGGGTTCAGATCTTCGGGTTTGGCGTTTAGGCTTCAGGTTTTAGGGTTTAGGGTTTAGGGTTTAGGGTTTAGGCGTCAGGTTTTAGGGTTTAGGGTTTAGGGTTTGAGCTATAGGGTTTAGGGCTTAGGGTGTAGGGTTTTGGGATGCTGTAATTGGTTTCGAGGTCCCAGCGCCCAGCATCTGTTGTTCATCTTTCGTCGGTCGACTCAAAGGGTGAGGTGGTCGGTTCCTAGGTGGCGGCTGTCGTCAACTTTTCGGTTTAAGTGTCAGGGTTGCGGGTTTAGGGTTTAGGGTTGAGGGTTTAGGGTTTTTAGGTTGGGTTCAACGGTGCATCACCGGGGCACCTTCAACCCTTCAGCTTAGAACCCTAACGGTTCGGATGGCTTCGATGACTCACAGATCACAAACGCGAACTGTTCCAGTAGTCCGAACGCTCAAGCCTACTAGAGACGACTGCCAGCACAGTTCTTGTCTGACCCCCTAGGCATGTTTGTTTTCTGAAAGTGTGCATCGAGACCTACAGAGCATCAGGTTTGAAGATTCGAGTAGGTAAAGGTACCTCGCGCAGAACGCAAACGGGTTAAGGTTTAGGGTCGACTGTTCTATCGTCACGAAACTTGGACCCCTAAACCCTAAACCCTAAACCCCAAGCCCCTTGCAGAAGGGGCTGTTCTGAGACTTGGGCCCTCTTGGGTACTCAGATACCTCGGTGTTTGCAGTACTTGGAACCCAGAAAACGCACGGACTCCACCCATGAACCCTAGACTCTAGACCGAGGTTCCGAACCTCACACTCAAACTACGCAGAACTTAGTGAAGCCTAGCCCCCTAAAAGCTCTCAGCCTCAAGACCTGGTAGAGCTGCAAGAACCCACAGACTAACATCACCAAGTCCCAGTTTTTTTGATTGCTTGATCCCCAACCCCAACGAACACCCTATCGAACCCGTGTAAAACCCTACGAATCCTTGGAAGAACTGAACCCTTCACCCGAAACCCTATACCCTAAACCCTAAAGAACCCAGTAGACCCCCGCATAGAAAAGGAAAGTGGGACTCTGGCAGAGTGCTTCCAGCAAGGACCGAGTTCCGTGCAATTCCCTGGGGTGTCAGCTTTCTTTTTGGTGGTCCCTTCGTTGTATCTTTACCCTAAACCCTAAACCCGAAAACACTAAACCCTAAAACCCTAAACCCTAAAACCCTAAACCCTATAGACCCTAAACCCTAAAACCCTAAACCCTATAGATCCTAAACCTTAATTGCCCTAAACCTACCTATGTCATAGCCTGTCAGGCGGTGGAAAGGATTCTAAGGATTCTGTGGGGATTTTGTATGATCGTTTGGCTTTCTTCTTTAGGGTTTGAGGAGGCGTCGGTGCTTTTTCGGGCTTCGGGGCTTTGCTTCTTTAGGGCTTCGAGGGGCTCCATCGTCCTGTTCGGGGCTTCAGGGCTCAAGGGCTTTTGGGGATTTAGGGTTTTTAAAATTTAGGGTTTAGGCTTAGGGCTTAAAGTGCCGGGTTTAAGGTTAGGGCTTAAGAGGTTTGGAGTTTAGGGGTTACAGATTTCAGGGTTTGGGGTTCTCCGGCTCGGGGCTTTCGAGCCAGTGCTTCGGATGGCTGCAGGTTTTCGGTGGTTTGGAGGCTCTGGCGCCTCATGGTGTTAAGGGGTTTAGGGCTTAGGCTTTCGGTTTTAAGGATTAGGGTGTTAGAGCTTGGGGTTGAGCGGTTTAGGGTTGAGGGTTTTGAGGTTTAGCGCCAGGGTGTTGAAGGCTTGCGGAAGACTGCTGATGTGAGCCTTTCGACTCAGTTCGCGCTGAGAAGAACTTAGCAAAGAGACTCTTAGGATCGTCACCAGCGCGGTGTGCCCGATGACATCTTTCGATTCTGCTTGCATCAGCAGTGTCAGCAACGAGCTGAAGGCTTGCCACCGAGTCTCCACGCAGCCTCCAGGCATGAGCTCCTCAAGTGCCTTCCGGCAGTGCCATGTCACCATCTTACTCGGTGACCGCCGCTTCTCCATCTTGCTTGTCCCTCCAGCTCGATCGAAAAAACCCAGAGCTGCAGTGCCGGTGCTAAGCGCAGCAAGAACGTCCAGCCTCTCTGGTTTGAGCTTGATTGTCACACTGGTGGTAGTACGGCAGTTGTTGTTGCCACTTACGGTAGTGTCATCGTGATATTATGGCAGAAACATGGTGTTCTCCGCGCTCGTGTGACAAGTTCCCCGTTCTGGTTGTTATGACTAGTTATGACCGTGATTTCGACTCCTGGCTAGTTTTCGTGTCAACAACCATGTGCTATTGCGACTCTGGCTACAACTGTTTTTGTTAATCCCATCATCATGTTTCAGTTGCGGCTACCTTTCCCTCCACCACCATCCTGCACATGTCATTGCTGTCGATGCACCATCAGCATCATCATCGTCATCATCATCATCATCATCATCATCACTCATCATCACTCATCATCATCATCATCATCATCATCATCATCATCTTCGTCATCATCATGATCTTAATGTTCATCCTCATCTTCATCTTCTTATTCGTGTTCTTCTTTACATGATCATCATGATCATCATCTTCAGCTTCATCACCGTTATCACCACCATCATCAGGATAAGACCAGTTGTTCAGCTCAGCACTGCCGGGTTTGACAATAGCAGTGCCATGCCCTAAACTCTAAACCCCAAACCTATCAGGGTAAACCGAAGAAGCCCTGAATCCTAATGTAGGGGCCTTCATAATTAGAACAGGCTTTTTGGGGTTTATTATGGTAAATATAGTATGATATGCCCCCAAACCCTATTCTAATTATTAAGGCCCCTATATTAACCCCAAACCTCAAACCCATCAGAGGCAAACCGAAGAAAGCCCGAATCCTAAGCCCAAAGCCCTAAAAACTCGAGGAAGCACCGCCACCCACCCCTCCCGCGGTCCGCAGGATGGCACGCTCGAGGAGACGAGCTCGATCTCAAAGTTCAAGGACTGCTCGTTTTGCTTCCTTTCGGGGTTCTTTTGAGGGTTTCTCTGAGGGTTCCTTAAACCCTAAACCCTAAACCCTAAACCTTAAAACCGTCTTAAAGGTTCCTTTCAGGGGTTCCCCCAGGGGTTCCTGTCAGGCTTTCTTTAACGGCTCCTTTGAGGTTCGGACTTCAGGCTTTAGGGTCGAAGGTTCGGGCTTCAGGGTTTAGGGGTTTAGGGTTTACGGCTTTTGGGTTAAGGGTCTAGGGTTTAGGGGTTTAGGGTTAAGGATTTAGGGTTTTGGGTTCAGGGTTAAGGGTTTAGTGCTAACGGTTTAGGGTTTAGGGTTTTTGGTTTAGGGTTAAGGGGTTAGGGTTGAAAGTTTTGCGGTTCGCGAGATCTTCACTTCAACTTCCGTAGCTTCGGGTTATGGGTTTGGGTAAGGGAGGTTTTTCTGAAACTCCCAGATATAGTTCTAGAGAATCCAGGCGATATGACGTTCATGCACCAGGTGGAACGTTGGGAATTCTATTTCGGCGAGGTTCTTCATGAATAAGTTTGGGGGCTTGAGAATTGTTGCTGAATTTAGCATGTCTGCAGCTGATGGGGTAGGTTTCCCTTCATTGCGGTTCGAAGAATCTCCCCCCCCCCCCCCCCCCCCTACCCCCACACCTTAAATCCCCGCGAAGAGCACTGCGTCCGGGGGTTCACACTCGAAGCCCGGAATCCTGAACCCGAATCCTTGACCCCGGCACCACGAACCCTTTAACCCCGAAGCCCTGAACCCTATGAGCTCCAAACGAGGCCCCAATAACTGGCTCATCCTGGTAAGCTGCAGATGGGAAAGCGTCCACAAAAAAGAACGAATCACCAACTAGATCCCCAAACCTCAAACCG